GGGTATATCAGTCGTAGTTGTCGACTTCAGTGACCCGACAAATGGAAAATTGCAGATCAGCAAAAAAGGCCGCACTAAAGGAGTCAAATTTGAAATCTTTTGGTCACACATGAGTAGGAAATATTTTCCGAAAGTCTCAGCTTTCTAGTTGTGCCTGCCCCCGGGTTAGTAATTTCCTCGCCAAAACCTTCACATGTAGCGTACGTGGGTCTCGGGCGCCTCTAAATAACTGATTTTGGTTGTACAAGAGTAGGGGACATTGCCATAAAATTCAAGCTTTCTAGCTTTTCCTGTCCCCGCGTTAATATTTTTCGCGCCAAAATTTTCACAAGCCCGTACGTGAGCCTCGGGCGGTCCTAAGGAGCTGAGTTTGAAACTTTTTAGTCGTGCGTGAGTATGGAACATTCTCCCAAAGTTTCAACTTTCTAGCTTTTCTCATTCTCGAGTCATTAATTTTCCCGCCATAATTTTCACGTGCCCGTACGTAAGCCCCTGGCAGTCCTGGGCAGCCGAATTTGAAATCTTTTTGTTAGACACGGGCAGGGAACATTCCCCTAAGGTCTCATTTCTCCAGCTTTTCTCGTTCCCAAGTTATCAGTTTTCCCGCCAAAACTTTCACGTGCTCGTACGCGGGGCTCAGACGTGCGTGAGAGTTAATACCGCGGTTCTGGGTTGGCACTTAGCTGGGGAACACGCTGACAGAATTTCAACTTCAAAGCTTGCGTGGCTCGCGAGTTGATATACCCGGACAAACGAACACATACACACACACACATACACGCACACTGACAGGGTCGGTGCAATATGCGTTTTTGCCGCCTGTTGCGGCGCTTTAGCGCAGCACGCAAAAACGCATAAAAATTACTGTTCCAACATATTGTTTTCGTTTGTTGTCGGAGGTGCACGCAAAAAAATTTCCCAAAAAACCTCTGATTATTCAGTTATGTAAATGAATTGAAACAAGAAAGAACGATGGATCCTAGTTACTAAGACGCGACGTCTCCAGTTGTTAGCATAGTAAGCAAAATCGCTGTTCACCGAATTTCATCTTCTTTGTGGGTACTATTTAGGATTACAAAGCAGGAACTTACGAACTCGTTGCCCATCAATTCAGTTAAGTGTTCTGCCATAAGTTGCAGTTCACGTCTAAAAAATCAAAGAAAAACCCCGTTGAAAACCTTTTTTTCCATTATGTCCTTTGCTATTTCCTTTTATCCTATTTACCATTTTTCCACGCTTTGTTACATTTCAAAATATCACATCCTCTTTTGAAGCGGCTCTTACTTTCCTTTATAAGTCGTCCGGCCCTTTTACCGAGGCACTGGGTTTTTCTTCTTCATCGGACTCTTACAACCAGTAGCACCGTCGTCGTCAATTCGACTCGACCTCTGCTCTTACGCTCGAGCGTCAGACTTACTCAACAGCTATTCGCTTGTTCAGTGCTTGACATCTCTTGCCTAGCAAGCCCTCAGATTCGTTAGCTCCCAAGCGCCACACTTCGTGCTGTTTACTTGCTATATCACCAGAAAGCGATAAACGTACTTTTGTTACTTAATTTGGCGTACACAGTCGAGGCGCCATGCTACACTACAATTCACCACACTTAACAAGTTCCCCCTAAATCACAAACATTTTTACTGAAATAAGGGCAGGAGGTGCAAAAAATAATCCCACAAAAAATTTAGAGATGTGAAAAGCAGTGTGTAAAAGTAGGGTGTAAAAAAAATTCGTGCTATGAAAAGGATCCTGTAAATTCCGAATCGCTATTCATTATGTAATTTTCAAGGACACCGCTATGTTCACCTGCGGCGATTTACTGTAGCATTGGCTACTCACTGCTACCATTTGTTAAAAAATTTATGGAGGAATAAATCGTCAAAATTAGACGCAGCGTAAGGGCCAGCATGTTTGAAAGAATGCACGTATGCTATGTATAAATGCGGTTAAAAAATCTTAAAAAATTAATTTTGAAAATCAAGTTTCTAAAGTTTCAAAGAACTTTCAAAATTTCAAAAAATCAAATTTTAGGCACCAAAGTTCAATTCTTTTACCATAATTGTCAAGCTGTCCGTAATTGCTCTTAGTAATAGTTAAGTGATCTCGGCAGCATGAAGAATTCATGCACATAGGCAGTTTTGTACTTTTTCGTGCTTTCTCCGAGAAGGCTAAAAGCGCACTGAGCGTCATGTACACTGGAAGTGCCAAAAAGAAGTAACCAGCGAAGCGAATAAACAAATCGTAAAAGAACTGGCATATGAAAGTACGAACGAAAACCCTAGTTCACTATATTCGACAACAGAATCTTACCATGAATTTCTCGAAATACAGGAACTGAAAATACTATCCCTCGTTTCTTTAGCGACATAAAACATCTTCTTTGTGAATGATATTTACCATTAGGGCAGGAGGTGAGGGCTACCAAGAGATGTATTCATTTCTTGAAGAATATGTTTTGAAAAATCAATTCCAACCATCTCAACTTTCATTTCTTCCATGGATTCTCTTTTCAAGAGGAATGGAGATGCATATTTCTCAAGCCATCCTGCCCTTACCTCCATCGTTGGAAG